GCAAATAGGTGGCACTTAGAAGATCACTGAGATTAATTTTATTTTATTTTTATTGATGGCTTGCTTGCTCTGAGAAGACCCCTTTGGAAGGTGAATTAGGATAACAGAAAACAAAACGTGGGATATTTTAAACGAAGGAATTTTATACAGGGAGATAGATACATAGGCTGGAAGAGCAAAAAGGAGAAAGTGAGATAACCCGAAGATTGGTAACTGTAGGAAAGAGTGTTGGCCCCAGAACTGGGGAGACAAATGGGAGAAGGTAGAGTTACTGGAACCTAGGAGTACAGAGAAGGAACCACTGTGTAGCTGTTGCCGGACCCCTAAGATGGCATCACGAGGCTGGTGCTGGGTGTGCTGAAAGATGCCTGAGCCATAGCTATCTACTGTTGTTGAAGGATGATGACAGAAACCAGAAGCAGGAAGAGAGACTCTTACTCCCTCATTCCATCTTCTAGTCTCCCAACCGTGTCTCTCATTGGCAGAACCTAAGCAGAAGACAGCAGGCAAGGAAATCTGAGAAATGTAGTTTGCATCTTCCCAGCCGCTGAATTACAAAAAAGAGCACAGAAGGGTATCGGGCTTAGGGCTGAGAGATAATGAGTAAATGTCCAGCACAGAAGGCATTAAAGTTCTCCTAGCTTCTTCAGAAAAAGCACAGGAGCCATAAAGGGGGGCAAAGGCTCTTAGGCACTTTTATGACTTTTGATCTGGCCGACTCCTGATTTTGGGATGGTCCCCTTTTGTCTCTCTAAACTCCTCCTGTTGGCCAATGTAACTTTGAGTGGGACATGATAGAATTGTAGAGGGCAGGGAGAAGTAGCAAGTAAACTGAGGGTGTGGAAGGCATTGTCACTATTTCTAGGAATAGATCCCGAACTTGCCTTAGCTTCTGCACACCTCCCCCTTATTGTACAATTTATGTACATGTCAGAACTTTCATATACGGATGAGGCCGGTTGTTCTTTTCAAGGTGATTACCCATGACCTCATTCTAACAGTGTTTCCACTGATCAAAACATTTTTTGAATTCCACTGGGGAATTATCTCCAGCGCCTGTGACATGTCCATTTATTAATACTTCTTTGTAGTGGGGCTAAATCTTTACTTCTTTGAAGGTGGATTCAATATTTTTAAATAGTCAAGACCCTTGAGTTGAAGACCGGCACCTAGAGTTAACCCTCAAGGGGGATAAGAACACTTGTTTCAAGGTCATGCCACTGAATCCTCTGTGCAGATTATAATCCCAGAGAGGAATTCCTAAAATATTTGTAGCAACGGCAGCATGGGTAAGCTAAGTAGAGCCTTTGAAGCTAAATCCTTTAAAGGACAATATGCATTGAAGTATGTAATCATTTTAACCAGAAAATGTTAGTCTTTAGCACCTCGAATTCTTTGGGAAAACTAAGAAGAGGTGTTAATCTTTTTGAAAAATCAATTTTATTCCCTGAGATCATAATTCCTAGATGCAGGGATTACTGGGTGCTATAATGTCATCCGTGCGTAGGTCATTACGAAGGAAACAAACATTCCTTGCTGAAGGAGAAATTCAAGTACAGTTATTCTAAAGTTTCAGAGAAAAACTGGTTACTTGTTCCCTTGTAAGGTTTAGTGGGTCAGGATTTGCTGATTAGTGGGTGAGCTGCTAGGGAAAGGTTACATTCTGGCTTTGGGGGGTCCAATGGCTAGGGAAAATAGGTAAATTTTCAACGGAATGGTAAGTTTCCAGAGTGGCTGGGCCAGTCTGTTTTCAGGATATTAAGACGGATTGCAGAAATTTCAGTCACATTTCCAAACCCCACTCCTGCTAATGTGAGAACTCACTCTGGGAGGTCACTTTGGTCCTTCTGGGAGCTTCCATCTTTCATGCTCATTCAGGGAGAAATGGTTTGGCCTGTGGAACATGGAGAAAAAGTTTCCAAAAACCAAGGAATCCAGAGTTCCTCTGGAGCCAAGAAGCAAGAAGCAGATCAACGGCTGAGTCAAACAGACAGTGCATAAATTAGCTACGCATTCTGAAAAAATTCTTCAGAATCAGTCATACAGAGTCTCGTAGCAGAAGAGATCTTTTCTCTAAAAATAGAGATCCAAGATATACAAAAATATTTAGACCATATTATGCACATCAAATATTTAATCTTCCTTCAGCCAATTCTCTTTGCTTTTGACCTTTTGCTCAAAGTTCAGCCAGAAAAAGAAATTGGGGTTGGGAGGGAAGCAAAGCCAGTGTGGGGACTGAGCAGAGGTTTAAATTAGGTACTTTGTCTCAATTAATTTTCCTTCCTCTGCATCCTCCTGTCTCCAACCCTCCCCCAATCCTGGACCCTTGAGGGGCTGGTTTACCGAAGCCTCTGATTTGGCCCTTCATGGATGCTTCCTGTTCTGAAACGACCCCTTCCTGTCACTCGCTCTTATATCCAGACTCCCTTTAGGCCTCCTCCAGGGAAGGTCAACGGACTAAACATTCACACAGAGGTACGAGTGACAGGGTTAGTGACAAATGAAAGCTGTTCACACACCTGGACAGAGATCTGACTCGGGTTCTTTTACTTTCAGCGTGGCCAGTGACAAGAAACGCACGCGTGCGCACGCACACACACACACACACACACACACACACACACACACACACAGAGGAAGCTTTTTTTTTTAAGATTAGCCCACAATCTTATTTTATCACTGCCTCTCATGGCCCTTTGGTGGAGAAGGTGGGAAAAGCAGATTCTCTACTGGAGACGGAGTGTCCCCCCTACCAATCTCCCTCACACAGCCTTCTCAGGAGCCAGGGAAGAGTTTCTTTCCACAGCCGCTGGTCTAACAAGCACAAGAACTAACATTATCCCTCACACACCCTGTGCGGCTCCTTCAATTCCTGTAACAGTCCTATGAGGTGCGCACTATTATTCTCTCCACGTTTCAAAAGTAGAAACTGAGGCAGAGAGAATTTAGGCGACTTGCCCAAATCCCACAGCTGGGAAGTGGATGCAGACCCATGTGGCCTAGTGCCACACCTGCTTCCTTAACCTAGTCGACACCCTCCTGCCTCTGTTAGATGCTGCCTTGTGTTTTTCCACTGTGAGAAGGGCAGCCCAGCCCTCAGCAGTTCTCTCCCCAGAGACGGAGTAGTGAGAGGTAGTGTGCCACCCACCCCACGAGGAGTTGCAACCTTCCCCCCTTTTTTTTTTTTTTTTTTGTGGTAGGCGGGCCTCTCACTGTTGTGGCCTCTCCCATTGCGGAGCACAGGCTCCAGATACACAGGCTCAGTGGCCATGGCTCATGGGCCCAGCTGCTCCGTGGCATGTGGGATCTTCCTGGACCGGGGCACGAACCCGTGTCCCCTGCATTGGCAGGCGGACTCTCAACCACTGCGCCACCAGGGAAGCCCCAACCTTCCCCTTTTTAAGGGCTGGATGGAGCTCTGGTTCTTATCAGCTCCACCAGATTTGCCCAGCTGGCCCACTTCTCCATTTCATTCTAACTAATCAATCATACTTACTCTAAGTTCAAATTAATCCTTACATCATCGAAACAAAAATGTCTGCATTTCTAAGTTAAAGGCTGTCTCTATACAGATCAACAGGGTGACTGTACATTTTATAAAAGCATATGCTGGAAGACTGTGCGACGACACAAATCGATGAAGCCAATGTTGCCCCCTGGAGTCGTGCGATGCACAACTTTTTCAACTGTAATCAACAGCCCTGCCTAAAAGGCATCTAGTAATTTTGCCAAGAGTTTGGGGACCAAAGGGAGTCTTAGGACATGAGGCATGAAAAACAGGCCCCGAAGGCTTCCCTGGTGGCGCAGTGGTTGAGAGTCCGCCTGCCAAAGCAGAGGATACAGGTTCGTGCCCCGGTCCGGGAAGATCCCACATGCCGCGCAGCGGCTAGGCCCGTGAGCCATGGCCGCTGAGCCTGCGCGTCCGGAGCCTGTGCTCCGCAACGGGAGAGGCCACAGCGATGAGAGCCCCGTATAGCGCAAAAACAAAACAAAACAAAACACAGGCCCCGAGAGATTTTTCTGGGTTTTCTCCGGCTACATCAACTGATAACTAGTCCCATGTGGGTATCTGCATTTTAAAACAGAAGCTTGTTAACCTAAATAAATCTCTAATTAGTGGAATTTAAAGCAGTGTGACAAGTGTGATGGGAGGACTTTCATGCAGGGTGAACATATTTTTGGTCGGTGACATCTTACAAAAGTCCCATCGCAAAATAATGAGTGTGTTTCTCCAGACATTTGCAATTAAAGCACCTTCATATAAAATATCTCATTTGAACTGCCTAACAACTCTGAGAACTATTACAACTGTCTCTATTTTAAGGATGAGAGAAGGACCACAGAGGAGGTTGCTTAATGCTTTTTGCGTGCCTGACAAAGTGTGTGTGAAGTGCTTTATCATCATTTTCTTATTTAGTCTTCACAAGAATCCCGAGAGTTAGTCATTATCCCCCTGTTTTAGATGCAGGAACCAAGGCTTAGAGACTCTGAATGCTTTGCCCAAGGTCACTCAGCTGGGAAGGGCCAGAGTCAGGACTTGAACCAGGTCTGACTGGTTCTAAGCCCAAGCTCTTTCCCATACGTGTATCATGTAGGCAAATCCAGAGACTCTGTCCTAAATTTGGCCCCAGCTGAAGGCAGGCGAAGACCTACCTTTATTGAGCCTATTCTACACCAGGAACTTCACGCACATTATTCTTCTGTGCCCTTCACAACAGCCCTTTAAAGTAGATATAACTCCCCTGTATGGTAAGTAAGAAAATTGATAAGTGATAGGGTTTAAACCCAAGCCTTTCAGCTCCAAAGCTTATGTTCTTTCCATGCCCCAGGTCTTGCAGGCCACCTTTCCAGTACCTCCTAAAGCTGACTCCGTGAGGAGCTGTTATACAACCAGGTGCACCTTCAGCAGGACGGAAGCCACCTGTCCCTGCCTGGTTCCCTCCCTTTCTTCTCCTCTCTCTCGATGCTGACAATTCCATTCTACTTTCCTTCCCTCACAGGTGAGCATCTCCACTGTGGGCTATGGAGACATGTACCCAGAGACTCACCTGGGCCGGCTTTTTGCCTTCCTCTGCATCGCTTTCGGGATCATCCTCAACGGGATGCCCATTTCCATCCTCTACAACAAGTTCTCCGATTACTACAGCAAGCTCAAGGCTTATGAGTACACCGCCATACGAAGGGAAAGGGGGAATGTGGAGTTCATGCAGAGAGCCAGAAAGAAGATAGCTGAGTGCTTGGCTGGAAGCAACCCACAGCCCAACCCAAGGCAAAATAATTAATATTTGTGAGGATGTGCGGCCGGTCGATGCCATGAATTTCAAGGCTTCCTTCCTCCTTCCTCTTTTCTTTATTATCAGGATTAACAGTGAAAGGACACGTGAAGCAGACGTACACAAAAGGCGTTCAGTTCACAAAAATCTACCTCTAGAAATGTTCATTTTGGCCCAAACTCAGACTGCCTCATGTCACTCTGTAACTAACAGTGTTGTGTAAGATACTGACCTTCCCAATGACATTGATATTGAAACCTCCTTGAGAGGAGCGACAGCTTAGATTTCTCTTGCAGCTTCTCATGGCTTTTCAATAAATACTTTCGGACTTGAGTTGACTTGAGAAGAATTTCCCTGGTTGAAAGAAAAAAGCATTCTTCATTGTCTAGAGAGAGGGAGTGTTGCAGCAGAAACTATATGAGCTTTGGAACTAGTCAGACGCACCTCAGTCAGAAGCTCAGATCTACCAGCTGTTCAGTTTGGGGCAAGTTACTTTAACTGTCTGAGCCTCAGTTTCAACTTTAAACTATACTTTAAAAGCCTTCCTAGTAATATGAGCATGGAGATTGGAGATACTACTTGTAAATGCTCAATAAATGGTGGCTGCTAAAATGGTCTGAGTAGGTGTTGTGTAGTAGATTCTTGACTGGTGGCTCTCATTCGAGGGAGGTTTCGTCCACCCCTCCCCCGCTTGCCCCAGGACATTTGGCAATGCCTAGAGATGGTGGGGTTTGTTTTTTTTTTTTCCTAGAGATGGTTTTGATTGTCACCACTGTGACAGAGGATGAGAGGGGCTTCTGGCACTGGTAGGCAGAGACCTGGGTTACTACTAAGCATGCTCAGGACAGCCCTATCACAAAGAATTATTTGATCCAGAATGTCAGCAGTGACAAAATTGAGAAACCCTGGTCTAGCCATAATGTGGGTGCCCCGAGACTTGACTGTGACGCATGCCCGAGGGTGTTAGTGCCCCTCCCTAGACAGGAGCCCCTACATGTCCTCACCTCTCAGAGCCTCCTTTTTTTCTCCTTTCCATGAAAAATCAAAAGCAAACCAAAAACAAAAAAACAAAAAACCCTGCCTTTTGGACAACTGTTCTGGGCTAAGCACTGAACAAAAGGAATTAAATGGACATGGCGCTCTGGGCACCATCTGTGGGTCAGAAAACCAATTCCTACAGGTTCTTTCTCTCCCTGCCCCCGTCTCCTCTTAATTCCTTCCTTCTTCCATAAGACTTGGAAAGTGAAATCCTGGGATTTAAAGGCACATTTGAACTGAACAAACAGAGGTTGCCCCTGTAACTAGGGGCTTGCCATGCCAAGTATCAATTTGTCTCAGAGCAAATTTGTCTCAGGGCATGATCTGATCTCCAAATGAATCATAAAAATAAGAGTAATCATTTTGTGCTTTCTTACACTGACAGGCACTATGGGCTGCACTTTAGAATATATAACTCCATTTACTCCTTCATCTATCCCTAAATAAGTTATCATATTCCTTTTTTATTTAGGAAGAAATAGGCTCAGAGAGGTTCAGTAATTAGGCCAAGTTCACACAACCAGTAAACGGTAGGACCGAGCTTTGAGGTCTGTCTGATCCCTAAAGCTCTTGCTCGAAATCTAAACTTTTGGTTCTCAGACTGCATCAGGGTTTGTTAAACACAGAGTGCCAGGCCCCACCCCCAGACTGGCTGATTCAGGAGGTCCAGGTGGGGCCCAAGGATGTGCCTTTCTACTAAGTACCAGGTGATGCTGCTGCTGCTGCTGGTCTATGGACCACATTCTGAGAACTATAATCTAAATCACTTCACTCTGCCCCTCCCACCAGGAGCTCTGAATATGAAAGTAGGGTGTACCTGGTGAGAACTAGATCTAGATCTCCTGATCTCCTAAGTCCTAAGCATCCTTAACATCGTTATAAATGACCTGGTACCTAAAGGATGGACAGAAGCCCTACTGTTGGAAGGCAGCTAGATAAAATAGGATGCCCAGGTAAACCTGAATTTCAGATAAATCACAAATAATTTTTAGTAGAAGTATGTTCCAAATATTGCATGGCATGTACTTCTACTAAAAAGTTATCTATTGTTTATCTGCAATTCAAATGTAAGTGGATGTCCAGTAGCTTCATTTGCTAAATCCAGCAACACTATACTATGGTTTTTCAGAGACAAAGATTACTCACATGGATGGAAATCACCCCCAAGGCCTAAACCCCACCCAAACATCGGGCCCCTCAGACAAGGGGGACTTCTCTCCCCTCTTGCCCAATAAGAGAGGGAGGAATTTCAAATCAGCCTCCTTGCCAGAAACAATCATGAAAACAGAGTTACAGCATGCAGGAGATCTGGAGCACAGCTTACAGAACCACCTGACCTTCTCAGTGCAGCAGCCATCCCTTCCCTGGGAGGGGTTTGTTGATGAAATGCATCCTCTGGGGCTGTTGAGGACACAGGGAACAGGAAGGACCAGTGTCCATCACCCCTCCCTCTGCTCAAGACCCAGAGAAAATGACCCTGACCTCCGGAGCAAAATCGACTCCCTGAGAGACAGGGGTGGGAAGCAGTGGAGGGAAGGGCAGGGGAGGCCTTGGTGAGAAAGATGAACTTTTCCAGGTCCCTGGGATGGGGTCTGGTCAATAGCAGTGGCCATCTCCTTCCAGTCTTACTGGTCCCATCTGCTCAGACAGCTGTGCTCTGCCTCCCGAGAGAGACTGACAGAAAGGCATTAAAACGGACAGAAGTAGCATTGCATGAGCCCAACTGTGCACCAGGCACAGAATCAACATTATCTCACTTAATCCTTCAACAGCAAGAAGCAGCTTTCAAGGTGGTCACTTAAAGAGGCTTAGCCACACTGCCCTTGGCAAGGTCTTTGGAACTGGGTTCGAAATCTGGCTCTGCCATTTACTATGAGGTTGAACCAGATAAAATTGCTATGTTCTTAAAAAAACAACAACAGATGAATACTGGCAGTTTCATACAGTAAAACTGAATAGTTGTGTGGTCATTTAATGTCTCTGAGCCTCAGTGTCCGCGTTGTTAAAATGGAGATAGTAATAGTGTCTTCCTTGGGGTTGCGGTAGTAATTAAATGACATATGTATTTAAAACCTTAGCACACTATTTGGCACATATTAAGAACTAAATAAATGTGGCTGCAATTATCATCAGCGTTACTATTTTGCTGGATGTATAGAAAAATTGTACAAGCCCAGAGAGGGTCGCTTGTCATCGGGGAGAGGATTCTGAGGATGAAGACAGTTTCCGAATCCTTTTGCCAGCGCCCTAGCCGTCAGGGCTGTGCACAAGAATCCAGACCAATCTCTCCAATAAAACCGTCTGTGATGATGGAAACATTAGGCACTAGTACGGTAACCACCAGCCACGTGCGGCGACTGAGCACTTGAAATGTGGCTAGTGTGACTCAGGACATAAATTTTTTATTTTATTTAGTTTAGTATAGTTCACTTGTATTATTATATTAGTTCCAGGTGTGCAACATAGTAATTCGATATTTTTATAGATATACTCCACACAAAGTTATTATAAGATATTGATCATATTCGCTGTGCTGTATATTACATCCCTGTAACTTATTTATTTCATGCCTCGTAGTTTCTACCTCTTAATCCCCTCCACCTATATTGCCCCTCCACCCCCTCCTCCCCATTAGTAACCACTAGCTTGTGCTCTGTATCTGTGAGTCTGCTTCTATTTTATTATATTTGTTCATTTGTTTTATTTTTTAGATTCCACAAGTAAGTGGAAACAGACAGTATTTTTCTTTCTCTGTCTGACTTATTTCACTAAGCATAATACCCTCCAGGTCCATGCATGTTCACAAGTGACAAAATTTCATTCCTTTTTTATGGCTGAGTAATATTCCGCTATCGATATACACATACATATATATGTGTATGTATGTGTGTGTCTTTTCTCTATAAAAGTCTTTTCTCTAGCTCCTGTTGGTGGAAGTCTCCTTAACATTTCTGGTTTGGCCCTGATCGATTCAAATCTATTTTTACTCAAATAACCCTTATACTTTTAGCATGCTTCAGTATATCTTTTAACAGAATCTTTATCAAAATCTCTTTAAACACTTTGAGTCTGTTGTCTATTTTCTATCTGGATCCTGACTAATACACCTTGTCTATCTTGAGAAAAATATATTGGTCCTATTCCCCAAATCACCACTGAAAAGACAAAGCATGTTTATCTGAGGATTCATATCTCCCCGACATATTACCCCAGACTGAGAAACAGAGCCCTTGGATTTAAAGACAGGAGGTATATCCAACTCACAGATGTTTGTAGGACAGTGATGATGGGTTCCCTTAACTGCCAATGACTCATCCTTCCTGTCAAAGGCCTCCAGCTCTGCTCTCCTTAGGAGCAATTTTCAATGACTCAGCCTGTTGAATTCCCTTCCCCAAACCCATCCCGCACATACAAATGGAGTTTCATGACTACATGACGGAACAGGGTGCATAAAATAAGTTGGAATGTATGCAGCTAGGAACAAATGTTTTGGTGCCCTCTGAGGACATCAAGAAACCATCTGGGCCGATCTACTACCTTCACTCACACAAGTTTTATTAACCTTGTTTTGTAAGTGATATAACTGAAACCCAGAGAACTTAAGAAACATGCCCAGAGATAGCAAACATCTGTTTCTCACGTGGCCACGCTCCTTCCTATACCCACAGCAGACACTGTTAATCAATCACTTTACTCTTTCCCATCAGAAAACCTTCTCACTGCAGCTCTCTGGTAGCCAACACAAATCTGTCAGAGTTGACACTCAAGACCTGTTTGCCATCCTCGCACGTGCTCAGACTTTAAAAATTAGAAAGTGGAGCTAGAAATCAGCCTCAGTAGTCTCCTAGTGCACTATTCTTTTTTAAGGATTTCCCTATAATCCAGACAACCTGTGTAGACTATGTTCATTCTATCCTTAATACCTATGATGCCATTGTAAGGAAACCTCCCTGAGCCTCAGTTCCCACATTATAATAATGAGATTAGTAAGACCTCTCTGGGAGGATTAGCTGATATATGAATGCAAAGTCCCTGGCACAGTCTATCATATGCTAGGAACTCAACTCACGGTAGCTCTTATTATCCATTCCTCATGAACAATTTCATTTACATCCACCATCCAGAGCATGCCCTTCTATGGTGGTCATTAGGGTCCGTGTCATTGAGCTGTTAAATATTTTCATTCTTCTGGAATATATGCATCGTAGCTTGCACTTCTCCACCACATTCAAGTTATGTGT